GGATGGATTTTTAGAATTGTCGTCCGCCATATTAAGTCCGCCATTTTGAATTTTTAAAAACGGACTTTAGATTCGTCATCAACGACCCTAAAAACCACTGAGTAACCATTTTCAAGTAAATTGGATTGATTTTTAAAATTGTTGTCCACCATATTGGATCCGCCATTTTCAATTTTTGAAAGCGGACTTCAAATTCGTAATCAGCAGACGAAAATCTTGAAGAGGAACCATTTCGTCTGATTTTTTGACATTACACTAGAACTCCCGAAGGTGGCACTCTCAGATTCTTGTGTGCCACCTTCAAAATTCGACCTTCAAACCGCTGTAGAGGTCAAACACTGTAAACAATTAATTTTTACAATGCAATTTAATTTTTAAATAATTGAATTTGGAAAAAATAATGTTTCTAATTTTAATTATTAATATAAATATGAGTCGTATATTTAATTTATAAATCTTTAATTTCCCTGTAAAAAAAGTTGGATAGCGAGAATCGGGAAAACGTATTGAAGCTCGGTATGTTGAATCCGTTATTTGAATTTTAACATATTCAAGTGTTAGGTAGAATCCGTTGTGTATAGTTAGTCCAATACGTTCGATTGAAAATAGCGTTAATACGAATGAAAAAACGTTTTAATTGGGATAAAAGTGACCTTTTATTAATAAAAAGGTTAAATAAATTGTGAAGAGACCAGAATTAAGAGAAAAATGGAACTTTCAATTAAAAATAATAGAATTAGGTTATTTAGTAAATGTGTTACCATTGAAGAGCTATGGTTAACGTGTGACATCCGTAAACAGAGAAATAAGCCATATTTACGAGAACAGCGCATGCGCAATTGAGCATTCAGACGGTTTGGTTTGGAGAACCAAATTATTCAGTTAACAGACGCAAAAGCTTGAACGAAATTTTTGGTACAGCCAACTAAATTTCTCGATTGATTGCTTCTTTCGTTACTGTTATGTCAACTAAATTTTTGTAATCTTAACTAAAAGTGCTCCACCAAATTATTTTGTTAACATTACATTATTATTTTTCTCAGTGTGGGCATTGTAAAAAAGTTGTGGTTATTTTTATTATTAATCAATTAATATTCGTGAATAAATAATTTTGTCTTACCCTTAAAATGAGGATTTAGTTTATTTATTCTCATTTTCTTTCACTTATTGTTGCACTTATTATTATTAATTAATTTTCTTGTTTTGTCTCTTTATTAATCACTATTTACATTAACTGCTATTAATTAATTTATAGAAAAAAGTAATTATTCTATTCAGTTCTATACCGACAATAGAAATTTAAATTCAATAACTTTCCATTGTCGGTAAAAACAGTAGCATACTTACCCGACGAATAGCTCTCTTCAATGGTAACACATTTACTAAATAACCTAATTCTATTATTTTTAATTGAAAGTTCCATTTTTCTCTTAATTCTGGTCTCTCTACAATTTATTTAACCTTTTTATTAATAAAAGGTAACTTTTATCCCAATTAAAACGTTTTTTCATTTGTTTTAACGCTATTTTCAATCGAACGTATTGGACGAACTACACACAACGGATTCGACCTAACACTCCAATAGGTTAAAATTCAAATAACGGATTCAACATACCGAGCTTCAATACGTTTTCCCGATTCTCGCTATCGAACTTTTTTTACAGGGTTATGTTCAAATTAAATTTAATGAAATTAACATTATACATTATATGTATTAAATATAAATACTGTTTTTAAAAAATCATTTTTATTTTTTATTATTCAAATAGATAATTTCTTAATAAATGTTCCTTGAAAATTTGCAATATTTTTTAATTAAAGATTATTTATATATAAATATATACATATATATATATATATATATATATATATTATATTCAAAGTAACTATGTACTTGTATAATAGTTTCTGTTGCGGTAATAGAAAATGATTTTCAAAAATTTCGTTCACAATTTCCGACAATTCGAAAGGGCCTCGAAGGAACCCTTTTCTCAAACGTCCTTGCTTTTCGTATACTTTTCCCGATCCCGCCCTTCTCTTCCCTCTCGACCCCGCAACGCGTCACCGTCACAGCCGGTGCCACCTTCATAATCGGCACCTTCGGGAGTTCTAGTGTATTATTCGATAATATTGCATGTTCTTCTTTTGGCATGGCCCCCTTTGACCCCCTGTATTTCCGTAAGGGGGCATATGCTCATCTTGAAATTTTCCAGGGATTATTAGGTTATCATATGTGACTATTTGACATAAAAAAGTTTCCAAATTCGAGGTTCAAAAAGGGGGCATTTTTCGCATGGGGCTTGCCGAGACTCTTTTAAGTTAAATAAGATCTTTTGCAATATGACAACCCTAAATTTAGAAATTAGTCATACGAAAAAAAGGATTTAATTTACATTAAATAAGGTCCTTAATAACTCATTTACACTTTTTCTATTAATCACAATAGCTATTTTTATGTATTTTCGTGTTTAAACAACGTTTTTCACTACTGTCTAGATTTGACGCTGTTTGGACGCAAAAACGTCTGAAACGCATCGGGTGGATCCGCCAGGGTGTGGGGAAGATGCTGCTGGATTTAGAAGAAAATGGAATTGTCTGCACTACCAATTCTTTATTCTGCACTCTTTTAAAATTATCAGTCAAAACATCGTGTAAGATAATGGGGCCATTTTGATTTAAGGCATCTTAAATGTACACTTGAAACAAAATGGCCGCATCGTTCAAAAAAGCACCTATATCTACGTGTACAATATTTAATATAACATGTGTATACAATCGGCACTCAAACGCCGATTCACACATAGCCCAACGCACGCATTTATTAATATTTGGGTCTTGTAGACCACTGCCCTCTACCACTTGATATGCAAACAAAACTCGAAATCTCATAATGGATTGCAGAATGTTCTGACAACGACTTTTTTCATTCGTAAAATGCATGGATCTGAAGGCCCTCTCCAGAATGGATAAGCGCAAAGCTAACGTAGACGCAACGCATACGCGACGCAGTTGATCTGACGTCACGAATGTAGTGTTGCCAACTGTCAAAATTATAAACATACATATTGTACTTTATAAATTTGAATTATTTAAAAATTAATTATTAGTATTATCCTTCATAACATTTATACTTAAAAATTGAAATAAGTTTTGGTAGAATTATTTCTACCGTATTGAGGATATATTATTTTATATATTATATCGGCAGATTTTTTCCCGTGACTCTATAACTAAAAAGTAGGTTTAAACAAACTACAGTTATAAAATAAAAAAAAGATTATTGGATGATAATAAAGTATGAATTGCAAATAAAATTTAACAAATAAAATTGCAAAGTGTTTGACATAGCAAATAGAGCAGTTGTTCGATGAAATTGTCAAAAAAATAAAGATTGTTGATTAATTTGAAGAAAAAACATATGTACTATAATAAGTGATATAATTAATATTATTATTCGACAATATATTTTAAATTAAAATTATTTTTTATCTTAAGTTTTTAAATATTCCTTTGAAAAGTTTATTATTGAATATATGGTCGATTCTCCTGAAGGGGCTCCTTTAGATCTCCGGTTTTTGATTTTATTTTTTCTTCGAATTTATTTATTTTTTTTTATTTGCTTTATATGGTATTGAAAAATAAGTATTGAAGTTGTGCAAAATTAATTCTTAAAATACTGAAGGTACAGCACATTTATTGAATTGTGTTTTGAAATAAATTTAATACAAAAAAATGGTTCTCAAAGTATTGTTGATTTTAAATTGTTTTATAAATTTTTATAAAGATTATTTTTTGTTTTGAAATTTTAACCTAAAATTAAAGAAAAATTTTAGAGATTTTAATTTTTATAAAGGAGATTAGCTAAAAATTCTAAACTTGTCTATGAAATAGAAAAAACATTGTAGTTTCTGAAAATATTTTTTTCAAATTTTAAAGAATTCAAAAAATCCTATAAAAATTAATGTAGTGACAGAAGTCGGCATGGAGACACTGTAAAAAGGCTTCACAGATGACATTATTTTAGCATTTATTTCAATTCTATTAAAAAGAATTGCTTAATTTATTTTAATTCTCCAAAAAACGTAAAATTTTTACTATAGAAATTGCCAATAATTATTAATAAATAGATTTTAAATAATTAATCGAGTCAACGAAAGGAGCCCTTTCAGAAGAATCACCCATTTACTTTTAGCCCTGTTGAAAATCATAGTTTATCATAGTTTAAATTTATCGGTGTTTAGTTTTAAAAAATAATATCAATTTTTTCGTAAATTGAGATTTCATTCCAAGAAACAAGTAATTTCATATTAGCTTTGAAAAATCTATTATAAAACAATATGTCTGAAAGAAAAATATTTTTTTCCAATATTTCAAAACATGTAATAAAAAAATTTGTATTTTAAAACGATTAAAATATATTTGACTACTAAATTATTATTCATTAATCGTGTATTTCATTTGGGATGTTTACTTGTTATTAGTGTAAATTTTATTATTTATTTATTGGTTTATACACCTGTCTTAAGCGTTTTTTTAGGATGAGTTCCCTTGCCTCTCACTAAACTAATTGTACTCATATTAGTGTAAATATTAAAAACATTTAATTTATTTACAGAATAATTCTTAAATTTAAAATGACATAATTTTCAGTATTCTTGCCAACGGTGACAACTTTTATAACGCTAGTAACTTTTTCCGAATTGGATTATCGACTACGTACAGTATAATTGCTGAAGTGTGCCCAATTATCTGGGAGTGTTTACAGCCTTTATATTTAAAGAGTAATTTAAATACCGATGATTGGCTAATAAATGCCTAAGGATTCAGGGTGAAATGGAGCCTCCCAAATTGCATTGGGGCGATGGACGGCAAAGAAATTGCAATAAAGTCGCCAAAACATTCTGGCAGTCTTTTCTTCAACTACAAAAAATTTTTTAGTTTTAAATTAATGGCGATGTGCGATGCTTTTTGTCGTTTTACTTGGGTGGATATAGGGGATTATGGCAAGTACATGATAAATAAATTTCTCAACTATTTTAGGGGAAATAAATATATAAATTTTTTATTTCGATGTATTACATATATGACTAAGAAATTTGGAAGTCTCCGAGAAGAACGAATGTGAAATTAACGATGTGATTTTAATGCTTCAAAACTTTTTTATGGCTTGGAATTTCTTACTCGAAGGATTTCTGAACTGCTGATTATACAAATCTGGTATCAGATTTGTAAAAATCAACTTGGTTTGTAACAATAAAAGGAGCTTGTCTTTTACTATAGGAATCGCTAAAAAAGCTACATATAGACTCATATAACTTTTGACTTTTGATTCATGAAATATTACTAAATTATAAAATTATATAATTAAATTCTTTCTTTTTAAATGCAGGTAGTGTGAGCGATGTTTCAGCATTTCAACAAACAGAATTTTATAGAAAGTTGGAAAATAATACAGCGAATTTGCCAAATCCAACAAACTTGCCACATACTGAAAATATTTCTTCCTATTTTATTGTTGGAGATGGCATTTTCACGTTGAGACCATATATGATGGTACCATTCAGGAGAAACCGCCGCCTTACCCGTTTAGAAGAATTGTTCAATTATAGGTTGGTTTGAAAGAAATTATTTTTTAATCTTTTTTACGCCTTTGATTTTAAAAATATTTAATTTTAAAATTGATCAATCACAATAATCTAGAAAAAGTGAATATTCAATATGGATTTAAAAAATTCTTTCCAATAGAGTTTTGTTCAATTAATATTTCAAGTAATAAAATTTAGAGGATATTCTTACGCCCCGACTTGTGTTTGAAAAAATTTAGCAAAATTATGTAGTTTCTTCTAATTATCAAAATCCCCTAAAGTTGATATTGTTGATATTCTCATTTTTAGAATGAAATGTTAAAATAATTTAAAACAGGAATGTTTTAAACTAATATAAATATAATTTAAAATTAACACACTTATTTCAGATTATCAAAGGCCCGGCAGACCATTGAGTGCGCCTTTGGAATACTATCTGCTCGATGGCAAATTTTACAAAATAAAATGGCTTTCAAATTAAGTACATCAATTGCTGTAGTCCAGGCAGTAGTATGCCTTCATAATTTCATAATAACGAGAGAGTTGGCAACTGATGAAGATTATAGAAATTATTTTCCAGAACGGATGATGGAACAGCTTGTCCGGAGAAATAGAGCTGGAGACAATAATGACATTTCAGATGACGAATTTGCGTTAAATGATGACGATGAGAATAATGTAGCAAATGTTGTGAATGATAACATAAACGAACAAGCATTGCGTAATTTATTGGCCGAATATTTCCTAAACCATTGAATATTAACCCAACCAAAAATTTCAGTATTATACCAGAGTTGACTACTGGCGCACTACTGGTTCAGTATTGGCTGCCGAGGCTGGGCAGTCTGTACTGAACCAGTACTGGTATTTTCATTGTATCAGTACTGGTGCAGTACCACCCTCCCAGTACTGGCAAACCAGTACTGAGCCGAAATTGAGCCAGTACTGGCTCAAATAGATTTTCTTTTTGATTAATACTAGTTTACAAAAAGTTCTAGAGTGAACCTGATGAATCTTTTTTTTTAAATATTTTGTTTATAAAAATTTTTTCACTTTGATTTTATTTTGGAAAATTAAAAGGTATTTTATTTTGCTTTTTCGTGGGTAAAATATTATTTAAACAAAAAGTTTCCTGAGACTAATTCCAAAACATTATGCAAGTTTTTTTTATTGTTTTCAGATATGGAATATACCAAAAAAAATGTTAAAAGATCAAACTAAAAATAAATAAATTTGTTAAGAAAAAATTAATATTTTTAAAATAAAATTTATAATATAAATTTAATTTAAAAAATTAATATTTTTAAAATAAAATTTATAATATAAATTTAATTTAAAAAATTAAAAACAATCACAAGTAAAATTGCACAAATGTTATATTATCAATAATATAAAATATATAATTAACCATTCTTAATAGAAATTATAAAAAATAGTTGAACCTACAAACTTAAATATTTCAATGGTCAATAAAATTATTGTAATTTGTTTCTGGATGTTATTCTTCATTTTTTTTCCAAAAGTGAATTATAATCAAAAATTTAATGTTAATTTAAAAATAATTTAGATAATTTTTTTAATAATTACCTAATTTCAGGAATTTAATATTCATTATTTATTAAATCATTATATATTTGTGATGAGTTCATTTGTAAACTAATTTTGTTTTATGTAAATTGAATTGAATTCAATGTTAATTTATTTATATTTCATATAATAATTAATAAATTAAAGTGAATAATTAAATATTTAATTGCATAATTATATACATTATAATTATTTTATAAACATTTTTATTTTTACTAAACTGTTTTTATATATTATAAAAACTTTGGTTTTATAATAAACATATTTTTATATTTGTTTTTTGATTTTTTAAAATAATTATTTGCAATATATATTATAAGAAGGAATGAAAATTCTTTGTGTTTTCGATTTTATTTAATAAAATATTAATTAGTTAGTTGACTAATTTAATTAATATTTAATTTGTGTTGGGTTACTAAAAATTTCAGACACTTTTTCCTAAGTATACCCAAAAAAAGTATTACCTGGAGTGAAACTTATCTCTGTTACAGTTAAAGCTTTCTTTCCGTATACATTAAATTACAAAACTGCCAGTACTCGACCAGTACTGAACCAGTAGTGGTTACCAATACTGGTGCCAACTCTGGTAGCCAATACTGGTAAAATGTTATCATCCCAAAGTTACGCCAACTATGGCGCCAATACTGGGTGCCAGTACTGCGCCATTAGTAAATTTTTTATTGGGAAAAACGTTGTTTGTAAATTATGTGATTCTGTCTTGCACTTAAATAATTCATATTAACCTTTGAATAGTTTTAAGAAGAGACTAAAATAATTATACGAAATTGAAATTTCAACTATGTATATTTATAATAAATGAATAACAAAAATTTTTAGAATTGTTGAGTGACTCCCGGGAATTTCTCGGCCTCATCCCCGGGAACTTTTTCACATGGGAAAGCAAATTTTAAAATACCAAAACTATTTTAATGTATTATAATAATTATATAACTATTTTAATAGGGTGAATTAAAATTTCCAATGCAATACATTAATTATAGAAAACCAATTTTTTAATTATAAAGATTTTCGTATCTTATATTTTCATACATTCATATAAGAAAAAGAAACTCTTCTCACAAGTAACACTACCCAACTGTTAATCACCGATTTTGATGAAACTTGTCACACTTCTAGAACATGGAAAAATATTGAACACGTATTTTTTTATATCGGCCCGTTTTGAGTTTTAAGGGTAGAAAACACCCTTTTTCAATTTAAGGGATGAAAAGCAGTATTTCATACGGAATTTACTAGATTTGCTTGAAACCTATTACTCGGGGGTTTTCGAGGTCGCTGATTACGAATCTGAAGTCAGATTTTAAAAATTCAAAATGGCGGATCCAATATGGCGGACAATAAAATAAAACAAGGAGGGGGTCCTTTATGTTTATTTCATAAACATTATGCTTCCTCATTGTGTGAAGCAAAAAATTCGCTTCCTCGTGAAGGAAGCAATGAATTTGTCCAATTCAATTGATTGATTTAAAAAATTTCGAGTTAAAAATGTTTTAAATTAATTAAATTTTTTGAAAAATAAAGAAAATTTTAATTAATTTTGAGTATAACATAAACTTTATATATACGAATCGATTCGTTTTAATGCAAGGAATACAATTATTTTATTCATCAACTTGAATTTTAAAAAAAACACAAAATTTTTTAGCTAAAATAAGAATTGTCGATTTTTCAATTTTTATTAATTCTCAAATTTTAAATCAAATCTATACTTTATATATGCCAACCAATTCGTTTCAATGCAGGGAATAAAATTATTTCATATATAAACATGAATTTAAATAAACACATCATTTTTTAGCTAAAATGAGAATTTTTGATTTTTTAACTTTCATTAATTCTTTAAATTTCAATCAAATCTATACTTTATATATATATCAATCGATTCATCTTGATATAAAGAAGACGATTATATTATATATTACCTTAAATTTTTCGATTTAAAAATTTTTTCAATTAAAAAAAAATTTTTGAAAAAAAGACGATAAAATTTTTTTTTTGGGGTATTTTTAAAAATCCTCTCGTCATTTTTGAGAGATTAATGTGTTAAATAAGCCTACCAAATTTTACCCAAATCCATTAAAACCTGTTAAAGATATCGTGTTCACAAAAACTATCCACACACACATACACACACACATACATACATCCGGACAATTGATCAGGATCTCATATAACATGTTTCTATATAGAGGAAAATTTGTTTTCACCATTTTTAAAAATTTTATAAACGAAAGGACTACATAGCTTCCTCCACGAGGAAGCAAAATTAATCGGATTTGATTGAAACTCGTTAGTCGGGGGTTTTTGGGGTCACCGATTACGAATCTGATATCAGTCGGGTAGTTGATTACGAATACGGTGTCAATTTTTAAAAATTCAATATGGCGGATCCAATATGGCGGACAATAAAATTGAAATTCACTCGAATTTACTTGAAACTCATTACTCGGGGGTTTTTGGGATCGCTGATTACGAATTTGAAGTCAGATTTAAAAAATTCAAAATGGCAGCTCCAAAATGACAGACAACTTTTTAAAAAATTCATTGCGTTCGCTTAAAACTTATAACTCGGGGGTTTTTGGTGTCGCTGATTACGAATCCGATGTTAGTTGTTTAAAATTCAAAATTATGGATCCAACATATTCAATAAAGCCATTATTATAAAGACAAGATCTAATACTGCGACCAACAAATGCAAGATATGATAAACGAACCAACAAAGGTAAGAAGCAATAATCCAACCAGTAAAGCCGAGATGTGATAATCCAACCAGTAATGGGAAGATGTGATAATCCAACCATCAAAGGTAAGAAGCAATAATCCAACCAACAAGGGTAAGAAGCAATAATCCAACCAGTGAAGGCAAGAAGCAATAATCCAACCAGTAAAGGCAAGAAGCAATTATCCAACCAGTAAAAGCGAGATGTGATAATCCAACCAGTAATGGCAAGATGTGATAATCCAACCATCAAAGGTAAGAAGCAATAATCCAACCAGTAAAGGTAAGAAGCAATAATCCGACCAGTAAAGGAAAGAAAGAATAATCCAACGAACAAAGGTAATAAGCAATAATCCAACCAGTAAAGGCAAGAAGCAATAATCCAACCATCAAAGGTAAGAAGCAATAATTCTTACCTTTGTTGGTTGGATTATCACATCTTGCCTTTACTGGTTGGATTATTGCTTCTTGCCTTTGTTGGTTGGATTATTGCTTCTTGCCTTTACTGGTTGGATTATTGCTTCTTGACTTTACTGGTTGGATTATTGATTCTTACCCTTGTTGGTTGGATTATTGCTTCTTAACTTGGATGGTTGGATTATCACATCTTGCCATTACTGGTTGGATTATCACATCTCGGCTTTACTGGTTGGATTATTGCTTCTTACCTTTATTGGTTCGTTTATCATATCTTGCATTTGTTGGTCGCAGTATTAGATCTTGTCTTTATAATAATGGCTTTATTGAATATGTTGGATCCATAATTTTGAATTTTAAACAACTAACATCGGATTCGTAATCAGCGACACCAAAAACCCCCGAGTTATAAGTTTTAAGCGAACGCAATGAATTTTTTAAAAAGTTGTCTGTCATTTTGGAGCTGCCATTTTGAATTTTTTAAATCTGACTTCAAATTCGTAATCAGCGACCCCAAAAACCCCCGACTAACGAGTTTCAATCAAATCCGATTAATTTTGCTTCCTCGTGGAGGAAGCTATGTAGTCCTTTCGTTTATAAACTTTTTAAAAATGGTGAAAACAAATTTTCCTCTATATAGAAACATGTTATATGAGATCCTGATCAATTGTCCGGATGTATGTATGTGTGTGTGTATGTGTGTGTGTGTGTGTGTGTGTATGGGTGTGTGGATCGTTTTTGTGAACACGATATCTTTAACAGGTTTTAATGGATTTGGATAAAATTTGGTAGGCTTATTTAACACATTAATCTCTCAAAAATGACGAGAGGATTTTTAAAAATACCCCAAAAAAAAAATTTTATCGTCTTTTTTCCAAAAATTTTTTTTTAATTGAAAAAATTTTTAAATCGAAAAATTTAAGGTAATATATAATATAATCGTCTTCTTTATGTCAAGATGAATCGATTGATATATATATAGTATAGATTTGATTGAAATTTAAAGAATTAA